CGCCAGTGGCTCGATTTCTCTTTCTACTGCTACTCCTTGCCTTGGCTCCTTCTTACTGCTGTCTTTCAGCCACGCACCTGATCTTCTGGTAGGAAAGATCTACACCTAGCCTTCTCGGATAAGGGCGACAAATGTCGGAGGGCCCGAGTGCAAGTTGCGCACGTTAAAGATCCCTTGGTGGTCTAAAATCGTTAAGAGTAGGCTTCGCCGCCATCCGGGCAAAATTCAAAATTCCCTACCAACTGAAAATGTTTAATGTGTCCCGCGCGCTCAGATGACCTCAGTTGCGAGCGCCGTAAAACACTAACCAAAAGTACCGATGTTTTGAACACTTGGACAGAATAGAATGATTGATTGACTGGCGGCTCAAAGTACCGATGTTTTTGACACTTGGATAGAATGATTGATTGACGGACAGCTTAAAAGTTTCCATGTTTTGGCTGACTCTCGGGTTGAATTTCTGGTTGATTGACAGCCTCAGCACCCACACCTACTGGACTGACTGACGGCTCAAAGTACCAATGCTTTGACACTAGGATAAAATGACCGATTGACTGACGGCTAAAAGTATCGATATTATATTTTGACTCTTGGAATGAATTTTGGTTGACTGACGGCTTGAATAAGCGATAGATAATATTTTGACTCTTGGAATGAATTATGGTAAAATGGTGAAATGGTATAGGTTTAAACGCCCCTATCAACACCATTAATGAATTATGGTTGACTAATGGCTTGAATAATCGATATTTTGACACTTGGTATGACTGATTGCCTGACTGTCGGCTTAAAGTTTTGATATATTGACTCTTTGATTGGTTGATTGATTGATTGATAGGATGTTTAAAGTATCGATATGTTCTACTCTGATTACTTAATTAGTTCATTGAAGGCTTAAAGTATCAATATTTTGACTCTTTGATTGATTGATTGATTGATTAACTGATTGATTGACTGATTGATTGATTGGTTGACTGGAGGCTTCAAGTATCGGTGTTTTGACTTTGGGGTTGGATCAAAGAGCCTACACTACAAGATGCTTCACTCAGTCAAAAAAAAGCGTCCACGGCCGTGCACACTTCTTCCCAGATGGCGCTGCAATCGATGTTTTGAATCTCTTGCGTTTCTCGAGAAGAAGAAGAAGAAGAAGAAGAAGAAGAAGAAGAAGAAGAAGAAGAAGAAGAACAAGAGAAGAAGAAGAAGAAGAAGAAGAAGAAGAAGAAGAAGAACAACAACAACAACAACAACAAAAACACGGCTTTGCGCACGTAGATCGGTTGTTCATCGGCCAACAAAGAGTGGAGAGACGGCTCCGATAAATTGAGCTCTTAAAAAGTAGATTTGAGTCAGGCTTGCCAAATCAGCGTCCGTGAATAACGTACAGTTCTTGGGTACTACAACTACTCACAAACGGGCGGACGGGTAACGCTTGTGAAGATTCGTTTGCTACTCGCTACTCATCGGACAGAGACAACATTTTTTGTTTTGTGTTTTTTTTGTTAGCAGGTTGTTCTTATTTGTTTGTGAGTGTGTTTATAATTTGGGTAATTGATGATTCATTTAATGAATGGTTCATTAGTTGATTTATTGATTGGATATCTGATGGACTGATTGGCTATAAATAAATAATCATTTCATTGGTTTTTTCCTTGACTGATTTAATTTCTTTTCCACCAGTTGATAAGATAAGGGATTATTTGATTGATTGAATGGTTCGTCCGTGGTGAAGGTTGATTAATGCATGAATTAATTAATTGCCGGATCGACTGAACGATTCTGTGATTGTTTAGATAACTGATGTTCGATTCCCCAGTGGGGAGGCATATAAATATGTATCTCGGTCTTTCTGCTGGGATGCTGCGTCCTTCTTGACGTGCAGACAGAGTGGAGTCACCTTCCCCGCACCTTTTCCAGTCTGGCCCCAATTTGGGGAGCGGCAGGGAAGGGACCTGAAGCGACAGAATGGATTCGCCCTCCTCTCCTCATCCTTTTTTTTTTTTTGCTCAGTGAAGCTGATGTTGCTGCAGTTGTTAAAACGACGATGCCAAATTTCACATTGATATTGGGTTCATAGAATTAATTAACTCTGAGAAACATTCACTTTTTGAAAATATCCTGTAGTGGATAATGTTTTTAGAAATGATAATTTTTAAAAATCTTATATGAAAATGAAAGCTGTTGCATTCCGGCTTCTCCTTGATAAGATTGGACCTTGCGTAAAACAAAAACAACAAATTTTCTAAAATGATGCCAGACAACACTCAACAATACCACTTTGTACACATTGCGAGCGAGGCGATTGAAAGCGAATTAAGTTTAAGGGCAGACCTTAGTTGACGATCCCTCACTTTGTTTGCAGTACCGGTATTGGGGAGAGAAGCAAAAGGGACGAAAGGCGAACCCACCGTAGCAGGTGCAACACATTTGTTGTAGATTAAAAACAACATTCGCCCCCAAAAAGGGGAGGTGAGGTGGATACCCCCCAAAAAGGAGGGTAAAGCGAATCCACTGTGTTTGCACGTATGGATTTGGCGCCCCGTTCAACTCTATTAAGTTATTTAAGAAGCGGGACCTCCGAATTTAAAGCCCATCTCCAATAGGACCGAGCCAGATGGGTTAAAAGCCTTGAAAACAAAATGACCGGGGTTCAAGAATGCCCAGTCTGGGATTCGAACTAGGGCCATTTGCTCAGTAGTCCAGCATGATGCCAACTGAGCTAAAGGACTGCCCGCTGTGTGTGTGGCCAAATTCATGAGACTGAGCTCGAGGCAAAGCTCGGGGTCAGAAAATGTAAGCGCCACCGAAAAAAAATGTCCATCGGGTCCGGCCAGGGTAGTGGGGAGTGATGACTGAAAGACAACTTTTGTTTTGCTTAAAATGCGTATTTAATTTCAGATTGGTTATCAGCGTCAAATTTACCGTAGAGTTCAGACTAGAATTCCATGCCAGATTTAAAAGTCAAATTCAAATGGTATACGGTTTGGTTTAACGCCCCTATCAACACAATATGTTGTTTAAGAGGCGGGAGCGCCGAGTTTAACGTTCATCTCCGAAAGGGTCGAGTCACTTTGAAAATTCTTGTAAAATGCCTTTTCCTAGGACCCAATGTCGGACCGAGATGAGGCTCGAACCCCCAAACCTGCATGCCAGTTTTATTTTTGAAAATTCTGTTCAAAGTAAGACACAGGTGGCGTCGCTACCTTAGTGGTTAGGCTACCAGGCACGTTATCGTGAGATTGCGGATTCGGGTGTTCGAGCCTCAGCTCGGTCCGACGACGTGTCCTTGGGAGAGACACTTTACACGAATTTCCCACTTGGCTCGGTCCTTTCGGAGATGGACGTTAAACTCAGGAGGTTCCGCCTCTTAAATAACAGTGTTTTGATAGTGGCGTTAGACGTATACCATTTCACCATCTTCAAAGAAAAACAAGACTGTCCTAGTATCTTAGTATCTATCTACAAGATAGGACAGTACTGGCAGACACTAGACGCATCACTCTACATGTAGCTAGTTGTGAAAGTCCCTAACTTGGATCAAAAGTTTCATTCCTCCAGGGACTGTTCTAGGGCAGTGCGGTGTGGATATCACTACACGAAAGTTCAATGTTTGAGTGAAGGGCCAGGTATTTGTCTCGACTTTCCAGATAATTATTTCCTATCGGTGAAGGAGCACAGTAGCTTCGTCTTCAATGGCCTATATTCTATCAAGTCATGAGTTAGTTTTAAAAAAACTAAAACAATATTATAGTCCAGACAATACCAAAAGGACAACTTGTCGACCTCATTACACAGAAACTAATTTTATCGAATTGTCCTGAGTTTTTGCATGTGCCTCTGAACGCCAAAAAAAAAACCCCCTTTAAAATCTCGATTTTCGTGCATATGCGACAAATATAAAGAGGCGTTTTCTATATAAGCATTAGTATTTAATTACAGTCGATGCAGGAATTTTTTTTTATCAGACCAAGAACGGTAGTTCAGTTGTTGTTGTTGGGGTTTTTTTTTTTTGGGGGGGGGGGGGGGGGGGGTTTGTTTAAAAAAAAATCTGTTTTCGTTTTCTTTTTTTTTCTTTATTAAATGCATGCGCCGCAAAACTGAGTTGTTTTCTGTCCAGTGGTTAGTGGGTAGCAGTGGGTTTATTTTGATAGACTCTTTGTGACATACAATGAGTAAAATTTCTTTTATATCTTCCGTCATTGTGATCGCAAGCGTTTCATTTTGCTGTCACTTTTTCATTATTGACCATGGTTAGATTACTTAATTTACAACCCCCCCCCCCCCCAAAAAAAAAAAAAACGTTGCCTGAAAACTACTGAACAATTTCTCCAAAGAAGCTGATCGAGGCCGTCTCTTTTATTCTATGACAAATCCCGAAAAAAATGACAGTTTATGTACGTGTGTGTGTGTGTGGGGGGGGGGGGGGGGGGGGGGCCCCTTTAAACCCGGGGGGGGGGGGGGGGGGGGTCCAGGGACAAGCCATTAGCGCTTCAAATACAGCACTCTGTTGACCCCCGTTTTTGGGTTTGACCAAACTGTATCCCCCCCCCCATACCCTCGCCCTCTCCCCCCTCCCCATACCCTCGCCCTCTCCCCCCTCCCCATACCCTCGCCCTCTCCCCCCTCCCCCTGAACTTTCTGTCTTAGCCCATACAACGACACCGTGTATAGTTACCTTTTTATCAATGTGCTGTATTATAAAAAGTGTGCGGTGTTGAGTTTAATTAGCAATTAATTACTAATGATTATATAGACAGCGCCTCTTTATTTTTGTCGCACATGCACGAAAATCGAGATGCTTTAGGTCTTTTAGAATTCAGAGGCGCATGCAAAAAATCAGAGAGATTCGCCACTTGATTTTGTGAAATGAGGTCGACAAGTTGTCCATTTGGTGTTGTCCGGACTATAGTTGGGGTTTTTTAAAATGACAATTCATTTCTTAAATCTCTGCTGGTTTATTCATTGCTGGATACGGGGTAATACTAATAACAGAAGTAACAACGGACTACAACAAAAAAACAAAAACAATCCGGAACTTTTTGGACAACGTGGGGATGTACGCAGGAGGATTCAAAATTGAAGCATTTTGATTGTCAAATACATCTTATATCAAGACAATTTTTTGTACAAGTACAATACATTTGACGAGTACAGAGAGATTCAAATGGGAAAATATAACAAAAACACATTGGAAAACCTGTAGCCCTAATAAGTTCAGAAGTCCGGATTTCCGGATAAATCCGGAAAATTGGATAAGCCAGAAAAACCGGATAAATACGGAAACGGGCACCTATGTTCAACGCCTGACACAAACAGGTTCTGCTACAACTGAAGTTGGCACAGTCAGACATACAGAAGACTAGCCCATGCCCTTCACTGTCACAGCCGCCTTCAGACCATTTCAGCCAGTGCGGTGAAGCGTGGGGGCAGCGATCACACCGAGAGTTTTTTTATTCGGGCTTTGAGACACGCGTTACAAACGCATCTATAGGAGCATTCGTGTTCACAGTCTGAACAGTCGCTGAAGCAGACGGGAACTTCTTTTCCTGGACAACGGGGATAAGGCCTGGGGTCTGTTAGCAGTTCAGCGAAAATATCAGGGGGCGCGGTGCCTTGTCGGGCTGAGCGATCCATGGAGATGGCGTCAGGTCCCAGGATATCGGGCATGTTACTGACCATTTCAGGCGGTCCAGGTGGACCTCGGTAGTTCATACAGGGTTCTTCGTGAGGCCCAAGAGGACCTCGGTAGTCCATGCTGATCCCTCCATGCGGCCCAAGAGGACCTCGGTAGTTCATACTGACTTCAGACGGTCCAGGTGGACCTCGGTAGTTCATACTGTGTTCTTCGGGCGCTCCATGTGGACCTTGGTAGTTCATACCGACCTCAGGCGGTCCAGGTGGACCTCGGTAGTTCATACCGACCTCAGGCGGTCCAGGTGGACCTCGGTAGTTCATACCGACCTCAGGCGGTCCAGGTGGACCTCGGTAGTTCATACCGACCTCAGGCGGTCCAGGTGGACCTCGGTAGTTCATACCGACCTCAGGCGGTCCAGGTGGACCTCGGTAGTTCATACCGACCTCAGGCGGTCCAGGTGGACCTCGGTAGTTCACACTGGGCTCTTCGTGAGGCCAAAGTGGACCTTGATAGTCCATGCTGATCCCTCCATGCGGCCCAAGAGGACCTCGGTAGTTCATACTGACTTCAGACGGTCCAGGTGGACCTCGGTAGTTCATCCTGTGTTCTTCGGGCGCTCCATGTGGACCTTGGTAGTTCATACCGACCTCAGGCGGTCCAGGTGGACCTCGGTAGTTCATACCGACCTCAGGCGGTCCAGGTGGACCTCGGTAGTTCATACCGACCTCAGGCGGTCCAGGTGGACCTCGGTAGTTCATACCGACCTCAGGCGGTCCAGGTGGACCTCGGTAGTTCATACCGACCTCAGGCGGTCCAGGTGGACCTCGGTAGTTCATACCGACCTCAGGCGGTCCAGGTGGACCTCGGTAGTTCATATCGACTTCGGGCGGCCCAGGTGAACCTCGGTAGTTCAAACTGGGTTCTTCAAGAGGCCTACGTGGATCTTGATAGTCCATGTTGACCACTCCAGGTGGTCCTCGGTAGTTCATACTGGGTTCTTCGGGCGTTCCAGATGGACCTCGATAGTTCAAACTGAGCATTCCAGGCGGTCCAAGTGGATCTCGGTAGTTCATTATACTGACTTCAGACAGTCCAAGTGGACCTCGGTAGTTCAGACTGACCACTCCAGGCGGTCCAGGTGGACCTCGGTAGTTCATACTGGGTTCTTCGTGAGGCCTAAGTGGACCTTGATAGTCTATGCTGACCACTCCATGCGGCCCAAGTGGACCTCGGTAGTTCATACTGACTTCAGGCGGTCCAGGTGGACCTCGGTAGTTCATTTTGGACGGTCCAGACGGCTCAAGCAAGCGGATCTCCGTAGTTCAAAACTGACCTCTCGAGGCGGTCCAGGCTGATTTGGAATAGAACCGGCGCTTGCAGGAAGTTGCTGGGCAGCAGACAGGAAGTGTACAGATGAGTCACAGTCACTATGGACACAAGAAGAAACATCAAAGTCGACATGCCTGAAATGTCTGAGGAAGTAAATTTATTTTAAAATTATATTGGATGTTTTTTTAAAGAGGGAATCAAAATGAATGAGGGTCTCTGTATCAAAATTGTATTCGGATAAGAAATAGTTCCAAGAGATAAATTCCATTTCTTAAGTAGCTGCCGTTTACGCCCATCGAGTCGATGATCGACACAGTTTAGACCATTTAGAAAACGGGCTTCGGCCCTGCTTGTCAAGGCCAACCCGGGCTAAGAAGAATACAACATCCTAGCAAAAAGGACCGTGATATTAGATTTTTTAAAATTTCCACTCGACAATCGAACGCGGGTCTTCAGTGGGCAACGGCGAAGCGCCTAACAGCTACACCACAGACACCGGTAGGACCAATTATCCTCATCTGGTGCCTTGCCGACTGGCGTGGGCGATCATGGACCTCCACTTCACTCTGTCTTGCGTTCCACCAATGGTGTCTGTTGTTCAGGACCAATTATGCCAACAATTAAATGATATATTGTTTAGAGAGCATAGACTGCGACCCGAATTCGATAGAAATTTTGCCATCCTGAATTCAAACATTCACCACTCCCAGCATGATACAAGTATATTGTAACTTCGCAACCAGTACACTCTAATGCCTCTCCAGGAACAGTGCCGTAGACTTGAAAGGGTTCCTTTTCCTTCAATAAATCAATAATCAATTAAGTTGTCACCTACGTAACAACATTTACAGAGAAAAGCCCCTGTCTAGTTTTTGTATGTGAGAAGAATATGTGCGGGTCTGGCATCTGTATGCCTGGATACCTAGAGGTGTCATCTCAGACTCAGAGGTTGACGTGTAATGACCCGGGCTCCACCTTTCACGGTCGCGAGCTGCCGTTGCATATTCTGCCAGATCCAGGCCAGTCCATGTTCTTATTTTGTCTATCCATGTTATTCTTTGCCTTCCTCTGGCTCTCCTGTCCCACATCTTTCCTTCAAGCACCTTGGTCTCGTTAGGTTTTAAATGGCCGTAGTATTGTATTTTTCTACATTTTATTATTTTCAGCAGGGCTTGTCTTGAGTGTAGAATCTGACACACCTCTTTGTCTTTTTTGTTTTCCAACTTATTCTGGCCATTCTACGGTAGCACATCTCCAACGCATCTGTATATTATTTAACATTTAATAATGGGGTTTGGTTGCTTCTGAGCAAATGATGCGTCGATAGAGCGTCTCTGTTTTTGTTTTGTTTTTGGGTTCTTTGTTTTGTTTTGTTTGTTTCGCTGGGTTTGTTTGTTTGTTTGTTTGTTTTGTTTTGTTGTTTTTGGTGTGGGGGGGGGGGGTCGGCACGCTGAAAGCTGGGGGGGGGGGGGGGGTCTTTTATTTTTCGGGTTGAGAAAAACACGATATACCGGGTCCGCTAAATGTGAACCACGACATAGGGCCTACGACATGGCGAGGGAATACTACTGTAATCCAAGATCAAAATCAAAGAATCACAAAGTTACTAGTTACTAGTGTATTGGCGTCGCTGCTTCCCTCTACGGAAGTTGTAAATGACGGAGCAATTACAAAGCTAACTCTTTCTGTAAAGACACTATAATGTTACAAGTTTTAACAAGTAGTTACAATACTCACCACACGCAGAGAAAGGGCAGGCACTGTGAAAAATAAGAGCCCAATGTGCACGCTTCTGGGATGGTCGAAATACAAGTAGAAATAAACGACAATATTTTGGGAGTTGTACTTTTATACCCTTCTGCCCGTATACGATACCACTGAGTGATAGACGATAAGAGGTAAAACGATACCACTCATTTTTTACTCACCTGTCCATTTACGATACCTCTGATAGGATCTCTTTTTGGTAAGTGTTTTACGGCGCTCGCAACTGCATAAGGTCATATGAGCGCGCGGACACACCTAACATTTTCAGTTGGTAGGAAATTTTGAATTTTGCCCGGGTTGCGGCCGAAGCCTAGATCTACTCATATCGATTTTGGACCACCAACTTGCACACGGGACCTCCGAGATTTTTCGCCCTTGTCCAAGAAGGCAAGGTGCAGATCTTCCTGCCAGAAGATCAGGGGTGTGGCTGAAGACGGCAGTAAGTAGGGGCCAAGGAGAAGCAGTAGAAAGCCTGTAGAAAGAGCCAGGAGCGCAGAGGCGGGGGCGAAGGAGGAGAACGGGTGGGGGCAGAAAGTGGAGACGAAAGCAGACGACAGCATATTGAGAGAGAGCAGGAAAGGAAGTGAGAGGAGAAAATTTTAGAGAAAAAAGACAGAGAGACGATACCACTCCATATGTGATTTAAGCCCACCTACCCGTTTACGATACCTCTGATTGATCGCTGGTAAACAGTGAGACGATACCATCCCTTTTTAGACCCACCTGCTTGTAATCGTTGCCTCGGAGGGCTCGGTGATGAGTGGTCAGAAAAAAATGACATAGCGTGCATTAATCCTGTCGCGATTACTTGCGTACTTAATCATAATAATGATTGCCTTTATATAGCACATATCCACGTTATACAGCATGCTCTGTGGCCTTAACAACTATTGTTACTACCCCAGAAGACCCCAGAATACAACTCAGAAACATTCTCAGCTTCCCGGGAAGCATACAGTGCAAGCATATTAACTCTTGTTGGACCGTGCCATTTCCCCATACCTTGTTCGTTTTCGTCTGTCAGTAGTTACAACAAGATTTAAAACAAATTGCTCTGTCTAATCGTTTCAGGTTTTTTCAAGAGAGTCAAAAAGTTGGTAGGTTTTTGGCGAGTGTTTTACTGCGCTCGCAACTGCATGTCAGAGCCTCTAAACGTCGGTGACCAACGGAATCTCTTAACAGAATTACACTTTAATTTTTTTTCTTAATAACATATTTTCATCAACACTATACGTCTGTGAAACACGGTCCAAAAAGTCGGGTGAGTACTTTTCAAGACTCATGTGAAGACGTCTAGATGGTCGGGGGGGGGGGGGGGGCGGAGGAGTCTACATGCATGCCTCTACACAAAAATGTGAGGAGAGGGCAGGGTGGTGTCGCTGTCTCAAAAATACTTTGTTGGGGGTTGTTGTTTTTTTTGGCTAGGTTACCGTAAATCATCTATTGTAAGAATAGTATTGATCCGGTGAATGCACCTGAAAGGGTCATGTTCTATATAGAGCCGAAATAAAGAATATTTTTTTATTACTGCATCCAGATGTTTGGAAAAAAAAACAACCTTTGCTTGGTAGCTGGCCTGCAGAAATGCTGTGCCAAATTTGAGCGCACTGGTGTATTTTAAAAAATCTTTTCTTTTCTTTTTTTTGCGCGGACAGATGAAAGTGAACCAGCTAGTTGTGTAAAGGTTTCGATATTTCTATAGCTTGTTTGACACCTTTTGTAAAGTGGGCAACTTTATTTAGGAGGTGGAACTTCTAAGGTAACGTTCGCCTCCGACTCGACAGACTTTTCTGGGTGGGACTCTCTCACCAAAGTTCAAGGTTGCGAGTTTGGGAATTTGAACCATCATTGCTTGCACCACAATCCAGTATAATAGTTAATAGTGAATTTCAAAAAAAATTTAACTTTGCACTTTCTCTTGTTTACTCTCACTCAGACTGACCTAAGTAAAATCAGTTACAGTATTAAGGTCATCACTGATACAGTTAAGGTCATAAGAGGACGACTTTTTACTCTCATTGACACAATTGGGACCATTTATAAGGAGTACTTTCAACCCTTATTGGGGGGCTGTCGTGGCCTATAGAGGTTAAGGTGTTCACCTCTCATCAGTAGGTTCGAATCTGGATGCGAGGGAAATTTTTCTTCTTTAAATTGTCTCCTTTCACCTCCTTTCCTGTTCTCTAGCAATGGTCTGCCGTCCCGTGTACAAGTTGCGCACGTTAAAAATCCCTTGGAGGTATAAAATCGATAAGAGTAGGCTTCGGCCGCCACCCGGGCAAAATTCAAAATTCCCTACCAACTGAAAATGTTTTATGTGTCCCTCGCGCTCATATGACCTTATGCAGTTTCGAGCGCCGTAAAACACTTACAAAAAAAAAGACTGTTTACGAGGTGTACTTATATACCCTAAATGACACAATTTAAATAATTAATGAGTGGTATTTACTTATCCGGCTTGAAATGGTTAACTTTGGCTGAGTGAGATGCACTAGTAAGTCTTAGCTGAACAGAATGAACGAGAGACTCAAATAAAGAGACTTCCCCAAGAGCAAATGGAAATCACGCCATTTACATGCTGAACCACGACAGCATTTGCTCCGAAACCCTTTGATGAACCAGAGAGTTTACAGTAATACTATTAACCCTCTCTGGATGATCTTTGAAAGGCCCAGTCAATGTTTGTAGGAATATGAATTAAAAGTCTGTGTAGATCTATTGAATTTGAATAACAACTGGTAGTACTGGTAGTAGTGGTAGTTGTTCATGAGCATTTAAGTTTAAGCTTTTAATGCTCAGCTGCATGAACAATTGCGCAAGTGTTTGTTAAGAAAGATTGAAATTATCTGGAGGCAACTCGGTGTCAAAAACACAGTGCAAGTGGTTGCTGTCAAAAGTGTTATATGGCAAAGAGGCGAAGATAAAAAACCCCAACATTTCCTCCAGTCTGATGAGGAGTGCAACCCCC